CGCGTAGAGTGATTTTTTCCTTAACGGGATTGGATACTTTTTTTCGGTTTCGAGCGTGCGTTTTCGAGAAATAGTGCCGGAAGTGTCAGTGGCTGTCAGATCGTGCTGCGCAATTTAATTTTTTGGCTTCTAGTTTTTGAATCAGGCTTTTTGAATCGGATTTGTCCACTGATTCGCGTAGAGTTATTTTTTCCTTAAGGGGATTGGATATTTTTTTTCGGTTTCGAGCGTGCGTTTTCGAGAAATAGTGCCGGAAGTGTCAGTGGCTGTCAGATCGTGCTGCGCAATTTACTTTTTCGGCTTCTAGTTTTTGAATTTGGCTTTTTGAATCGGATTTGTCCACTGATTCGCGTAGAGTTATTTTTTCCTTAACGGGATTGGATATTTTTTTTCGGTTTCGAGCGTGCGTTTTCGAGAAATAGTGCCGGAAGTGTCAGTGGCTCTCAGATCGTGTTGGGCAGTGTACCTTTTTGGTTTCTATCTTCAAAATTATACTTTTGACTCCGGTTTTTTTTATGTATCAGCGTAGAGTGAATTCTTTCTTAACGGGATTGGATATTTTTTTTGCGATTCGAGCGCGCGTTTTCAAAAAATAGTTGAGAAAGTGTCGGTGACTGTGAAATCATGCTTCGCAATTGACAGTTTTCTCTTCTATTTCCAAAATTAGGCTTTTTGATTAGGTTTATTCTATATATCCGCGTATAGTGAATTCTTCCTTAACGTGAATGGATATTTTTTTTCGGTTTCGGGAGTGTGTTTTTGAAAAATACGGACGGAAGTGTGTGTTGCTTCATTCATTTTTTATTTAAAGACTTATTTTTATTCGATTCGCTCATTGTTAATTTTAAGGAAACTAAGCATTTCCGATTGTTCGAACTACTAGGATCGAATTTATTCATATTAGTGGATACTTTTTGGCACCAGAATTTGTATAATTTTCTTGATAGATTTTCATTAAGGTATCCTAGTTATAATGATGACTATACCGACACAATTGTAGCGATCAAGTTTGCAAGAGATTATTCACGAAGAATGATCATATAGTAAATAGATTGGAATTAATGTCAGATAAACGATACTGAAGTTCATATTTATACTTTAGAGAGTGATAAGTCAATTTTCTGTATTGAATCAGAGTTTTTAAAGTTATTATATTTTCAGTTATCATTAAAGGGAATGAAATTTGGTATATTGCAGACTGTGTCTTTGTGTTATTTATGATTGTGTTTAAATTTGGCTGTAGTTTACTTTACGGAATTCGAATTTTAACATGAATAATTCTCTTTTTCTGTGGAAAATATGATTTTATATAAATTAACATTGAAATACGGAAACGGAAAATTAAGATGTCAGAATATATCCAGCATAAAATGAAATAAATTTAATGTATAGATTCATAATAAAATATGAATACCTTTACAAACTTTTAATCTAATTTTTTAAAACATGAATTGTATATAAGTAGAAATATATGTAAATTACTTTTTATTTAAAGTATTTGTCATGTAAATTACTTTCTATATAGGGTATTTGTCATATAAATTACTTTCTATGTGAAGTATTTATTATATATATTACTTTATATAGATGGTAACTTATGTAGCCTTTATTTCAAGTTGTATTTTTTAAAGAGAAGTTTCCTCGTTGTCAATTGTGTCATAATTTGTTATAATTACACAATATACATAAGTGTATATATACTTTTTATTGCTCGCAAATTGTATTCTTCCTTGCAAAAATAATAAAAATGGTACTAAAGTTTCATTATAAAATAATAAAAGAAGTGAATATACATTTTGTAGATATAATAATATAGCGATTCTATATAATACACGAATAAATTAATTAATAAACAACGAAACAAAATTGAGATTAGTACTATAAATGCTGGTCAATATAAATACCTATATAAGTATAAATATAAAGATAAAGATAAATATAAATTTAAATATCAAGTTGCGTGTAATGAATCATCGAGTCAATGTGTAACATCAGTACATGACTAGGATGTGTACGCATGTGTTTTAACCAACATTACTAAAAATAGGGGAATTCCGCCATTTTTCCTATATTCACTATTATTGTTTTCTTGAAGCAATCTTTGATAATATTTATTGTCCTTCCATAACAAAATTAAGTATTTACAATTGCTTGTAACTATAAATTATATATCGCATTTGATACTATTTTTCTATGTAATTCTTGTCTCATACATATTCCTCTTAAAGGTTTATGAATACATTGTTTAACACCTAATACGTTGTTATGTTTTGACAATTATACTGTACTCACGATATTTTTTTAATGTTTTATCACTCTTTTCGATCGAATTAGTATCATCTTTTATGTGAATAATAATTTATATAAATAATTCGTTTTTTAAAAGCACAACAAAATTTGATTTACCGTATATCGTCTGCAGTATTTCTTTGATTTCAGTTTTTACAAAAAAAAGGAGAAAGTCATGTGTTCATTTGCAAAAATATATTTTCAATTTATACCAGGATAGTTTAACTTGTATATGAATTACTTTGAAGAAGTGTATTAATCAAAGCATATATTATTCAGAAAAATATTATTATATAATTATTTTATATTTAACAATAAAAATGATGATTTGTTTATTTTTTTTAATATTGTGGTATATCTAATTTCAGACATGACATCAAGTTATGCCTTATACAATAAATTAACTTGTGAGAATTTGTAAAAATATTACTGCTTACGTAAAAGTGATTGTTTCAAAATGCTAAACTCAAGTTTGAATTCTTGTCTTAATTCAAATTTTTCATTTGAAATAGACCAAGCATGCTTTAGTGTTGTCAATTATTGTTCTTATCGTGTTATTCTTTATTTGATAGCAGAGGAAGCTTATACGGTATGTATTTAAATATTATGAATTTAAAATTGACTTATATATTTTAAATAAATGCGAATGCTTAAGTTCTATACAAATTGTTGATTTATAGGGTAATGGTGTTCCAGTAGCAACTTTAAATCCACACAAAAACAAAAATTTAGTAATAAGCACAAAGTACCCATTACATTTGTATTTTCAAACTGATGAACCTGAACAAACTTATGATCATTGCCAGTAAGTATTTTGTTTTCCTGTATATATTTTTATCCAAATATATATTTATTTCCAATTATCTTTATAGCACAGGTTATACTTTTAAAGAACATGGTAAATATGGATGGAAATTATCTGACATATGTAATAGCATTTATGTGATACATGAACCAACAGAAAATCATCTGAGTAAGTCACATTTTAAAATATATTATTATAATTATTATTAATTATAAAATATTAACATTTCATTTGCAGCAATTTTTACAGCATTTATGATATATATTTTATTAGCAATTTTATGGACACTATCTAAAGTTATTGTACAAGTAATAAGGAGAAAATTGTCACCCAATAATGTACATGATGTAAGTATGGTTTGATATATTAATATCAGATTTCATTATAATTACTTTAATTTTGTTTTAGGACTGGGATAGACTTCAAGAAGCAGAAAGTTCAACACAACCAGTAATGAGAATTACAAAATTTAGTACACGAATACGATCAGTGGACACATTTAGAGGGTATTTTTATATTTTTATATATTTTTAATATAATTGTTATTTCAAATATCATTATTTATATTATTACAGAATTTCTATATTATTGATGATATTTGTGAATAATGGAGGAGGACAATATGTCTTTTTCCATCATAGTGCATGGTTTGGACTTTCTGTAGCTGATTTGGTACTGCCTTGGTAAATAATTATTAATTCTATACTGAGTGTTCTAAGTATTACAAAGAATAGTTTACAGGTTTGCGTGGATCATGGGTCTAACGATAACAATTTCAAAACGCGCAGAACTTCGCGTAACGACTTTACGTTATAAAATAATTTTACGCTGTCTTCGACGATCAGTCATATTGATTCTTCTCGGATTAATGTTAAATTCAAAGTCTAGTAAATCCTTAAATGACCTTCGTTTTCCTGGTGTTCTTCAGTTACTGGCCATATCATATTTTGTATGTACCACATTGGAAATAATTTTCATGAAACCTTATTCTCAGGTTTGTATCTAGCCATCTTTTTTTCCGTATAATTTGTACATTTATCTGATGAATGTCTATAAAAATAACTCATTAGGATACATTACTCCAGTTCGGGCGTTTCGGTATGTACCGAGACATCTTAGATAGCTGGCCTCAATGGTTGATTATGATAGGAATTGTGACTACACACACTTTAATAACCTTCCTTCTTCCTGTACCAAACTGTCCAACGGGTTACTTTGGACCTGGTGGAAAATATCATTATCGCGGAAAATACAGAAATTGCACTGCTGGTGCAGCTGGTTACATAGATAGATTGATTTTTGGAAATCATACGTATAATAAAACAAACAATTTTATTTATGATCAAATTTCACGTTATGATCCTGAAGGTATATTAAAACCATTAAGTTCATAGTATGAAAATTGTTTCATTTATAGTACAGTATTTATAATTACAATTAAATTGCAGGTTTGATGAATACTGTATCGGCTATATTTATTGTCTATTTGGGAGTTCATGCTGGCAAGATTCTGCTCCTATATTATCAGTGCAATTCTAGAGTAATTAGATGGTCTTTATGGGCAGTAGTTACGGTAAAAAATAGGAAATAAATATCTATAAAAATAACATATCTTTTATTAGTTAAAGAAAAACATTTTTCTTCAGGGTATCATTGCTGGAATTTTATGCAATTTTAGAACTGAAGGAGGCGTTATTCCAGTTAGTAAAAACATGATGACATTGTCATATGTTTTGACTTGTTCCAGTTTTGCTTTCTTACTGTATGCACTTTTATATGTTCTTATTGATTATAAGCAATTTTGGAGTGGAGCTCCATTTACTTATGCTGGTATGTATTAATGTACAAACGGAATATAATTAAATATTTTTTTTATGTAAGTTTATTTATTACTTTTTATAGGAATAAATCCAATTTTTCTTTACGTGGGTGATTATTTGATGAAAGGTTTATTCCCGTGGAAATGGAATATTGCTCATCCTTCACATGCACTCCTTCTTGCTATGAACTTATGGACAACAACTTTATGGGCAATAATTGCATATCTTCTTTACAGAAAAGATATTATCATAACTGTTTAAAAGTAATGTATCAGCATATGAATTTATGGTTGCCTTTGTTATTAAGTATTTCTTTTTTATATTTTAACATTTAAAAAAAAGAATGTAAGATAATGCTGTCATAAACAAAGAAAAATAGTTATACAAAAACAAACACATTTATATTAAAAACATTGTTAACATTGGTTAACGGATATTAATTAAGAAAGCTTTATATGCTATTTCAGCTTTAAATAACTATTTTAAACAACATATTTAATTTTTATAAATAAAAATAATAAATCAATCTTTACGTTTCGTTATTTTAATAATTAAAGAAAATGAAAATGTTACATGGATAAAACAGTATATAAATAACTAATATATCAGTTTTAGTATATAATAAATATCATTGCTTATGAATTTCTGTCTTTTGGCTCTTTATATGGCAATTCTAAAATTCGAAAAATATCTTCTTCGCATGTAATTTTTTCTGCCTCTCCAGGAGTACCTATAATACAAGTTGTACTGATATGTACATATATATATGTACCCTCACATTGTAAATATTCTTGTCTGTTTATACCTTCAGATGTAAGATGTTTTAGTGTATATTCATTTAAAGTATAGTGCTTTTCCAAAGCATGTGCCCTCATGTCTTTATTAAAAAGATCACTTCCAGTAAAATAAAGTACAGCACAATAATACTGATCATAAGATACAAGTCGAATGTCAATTCTCCTAAATAATTTCTTACTGTCACCTAAAGCTTGACATACACCCTAAAATTAAATCAAAAACTTTAAATATAATTTCTTTACTTAAACATAATTGTACATCATAATTAATATACCATAAACTTTGTTGGCCCAAGAGATATTGTATCTGTAATAAATTTTTTTTTTTCAAGACTTTCTATAACATTTTTTAAAACCGAAATTTTTTTCTTTGAGTCTTTCTCTATGGATGTTAATGTAGGATGTGTTAATAGAACATCAATGTCACCACTTTCTTCTTTCCCACGTCTATAACTTCCACAAATTGTTACAATGTATTCCTTACTCAGATTTAAGATAGTATCTTTTAAAAGTTTTTCAATTTGCTCAATCTCTTTTCTAGGAATCCTTTTCTCAAAGTCTTCAAAATATCTGAAACATAATTATTATAAAAAGGACTAATAAGCACGGTGTAATAGTTTATTCTTCCTTTCATCATACTTAAGACCAATTTTTTGATGATGATTAAGTTTTTCCTGATGCTTCTTTAAATCATTTAAAGTCTTAATACCGGCATCTATTAATTCTTTGGCTTTTGCAGGTCCAATACCAGACACACGTGTTAACAAATTAATTGCAATGTTGTTTTCATCTTTATTAATCTATGAAAATATAAAATTTTTAAATTAGTACAGGAAGAAATTAATATATATTTCATTATTCAAGAAATAAATTCAAATAAGTACATCTTCCAACTTTTGTAATTTTCCAGTATTGAGAAATTCATCAATCTTTTTAGCAATTTTCTCACCAATTCCTGGCAACTTTCTTGCTTCTTGACCACTTTTTACTCTTTCTGATAATCCACTTAATGTGCCAGCAGCTTTGCGATAAGCATTATATTTATAAATATTTTTACTAACATTTCGTTCATAATTTGCCAACTCTGTAATATCATTATATAAATTTACACATCGTATAGTAATGAAGAGGAGAAAATTGTAGTTAGAACATTTAAACATGCAACTGATTTTAATCTTTATATGATATAAAACTCTAAGGTTATAAATAATGTCAAATAAAATAATATTTTTATCAATCAATTAAAACTATTATAATTTTTATAGTAGCTTCAGTAATACAAAAATATACAATATATAATAAATAATTTACCCATCAAAAAATCGCACAAATCTTGATTCGGATTTCCTGCATTATCACTGGCCTTCCGTTTTCCCATCGTGTTAAATATTGATATACGAAGCGTGCGTATAAACAAATTCAATTTGTCAATTTTTACTAATCAATTTCCTTACAAATACGATACAAAACAAAATTGAATTATAAAATGTGCTGCTTTCAACACGTATAAGTGCATTAAATCTTAAATATTTATGTATTGTCGATCAATGGTTGGTTGAATTATACTACGTTTCTATTTTAAATATTTTAGCGAAATTTTATAAAACTTCAAGAAACGTTTTCAATATTTTAAATATTATAATGTTGTGCTAACTAATGCTAGTCTATATTATTTTTTTGAATGAAACATAAAATTGCATTACTTTTGTGTTATATTATACGATTATTTAAATCCAATATAATTACTATGGAAAGTGATAAACCTATTTTAACATGTAATATTTATTTATTTTGGACAAACATATATACATTTTCACACATAAATATAAACCATCTCTTCTAAAAAAAATCAACAATATTATGCTATTTTAATATAGGGGTTGCAATCTCTTTGAATTTATTTAAACAGGAGTAATATAAATTCCATTCTCAACTTGACATAGATGGTAACAGAATCACTTGCATTGGACGGACCTTTATACCTCATTTCTAATGTCAAGTCATTATATTTTAGTTTTCATTTTGTATTGGTATGATGTATTTTTGACTGTATACTGCCTTATATAGAAGACATGCGACTATATGCTGCATGGTTTTTTATGCAATAACTGGAAATACATGTGCAAACACTAAAGGCTATAATAAATATTCCAACATAAACATAAATCCATAATTGAGGAAATCTTCCTGGGAGCCATAAAATTGTAAACTCTATCACTTTCTCTTGTGTATCTAAAAATGGAGAAAGGGAACATAATTAAAAAGAAAAGTAACAAATTTTATAACTGAACATAGTGTTATATTTTCTCTACCAATATAAGCAAGTCCATAACCAGTGTGAGGTGTGCCCATTCTATATGAACACGTGGGTATTTGCAATTCGTGAATATCACCTACATCCATTCTTAATTGGTATAATGGTGTCTCATATGGAGGTAAAATCCAAATCTCACTTAACTGATCTGTTGCTGTGTCTAAACTGATATGCATTGCCTTATGTTCATGTGCAGTAAAAATAATTTGGGGAGACAATTCTTTCAGTACCTACCATTGTAATGCAATTATTAATGAAAAGTGAAAGTAACATAATTTTTTAATAAATGAACACATTTTACATACATTTTGAACAAAAGTACCAGGCATAAATAACAATGGCATATGACTAAGTACTACATTTGTTGTGTTTCTCTCTGCATAATCATTGAGAAAGGCATCTTTTGGTGCTTCTGGCATTGTATGTGTTAATCTATTTACCTAATAAAGGAAAATGTGCATATTACACTTTGGCAGTATAATTCAAAATGTTATTAAATTTTTGTTCCTTTTACCTTGAAAAATGTTACTGTTTTATAAACTAAAGTATCTGGTTGACTATAGGCAAAATTAAATCTATTATGAATATTGGATGAAACTGCATCCTCTTCACCTCCAATATCATTATCTCCTGGCAGGTAAATTTTCTAGAAAAAAAAATATATTTACACACATCTTCAACAATATCATTTCCCATATTATATATAATCATACCATTATATGATCAGGCATTTCAAAGATAGAATCTAATCTCTTTTTGTAAGCTTGAAAATTTTCTACAGTGGCAATATGACCTTCATCCATAAGATCCCCCAAAAATATAACAACATGAGGATCAGAGTGGTATAAGGCTTTTGAAAATGTTTTTTTCAAATACCTGCAAATAAGAAACTGTGGAACAAAATGCAGGTCAATGTTTATATTTAATAAGAATATTCAAAATTGTATAAGATTTATTGTTCAATAAACAAATTAATCATTATTCATACTTGTCACTATCCCATTGTGCTATCCATGAACCAAAATAATTTTCATTTTCTTTGCCCAATATTTGAGGATCGGCGACAAGTAATATCTTAACACATTCTGAACATTCTCGTACTGACCATTTTAATTTTTGTATACCATACACTGAAAATTCATTGTAAATTACAGTAGCCAGCACCAGGAGACCAATTGCAATCACTTTATTCTTTAATCTGTATAGTATAATTTACTATATAAACATTTTATTAACATTTTTTAAATAAGAGAAAAATGGTAAAAATAATACATTACTATGATCAGTTATCAAGGAAATTAAAAGTAATATATGTAATCGATTACATAATATACACATTTTACCTGTTTCGTCGTAACATTTCTAAAATTTCTAATATTTGATGATATTAACAACTTTAACATCAAAATAGATCAGTACATTTTGTATCATATCCTTCAAAGTATAAAGAGTCTGACATGATTTCGTTTTTTTAAAATATACAATAATTGAATTAACTAAAGGTTATGTAATTACGATAAATAAATTTCTTAGTTCCATGTCTATAATTATCTTGATAAATAGTATTGATAACTGCACGATAAATAAATATTAGATCGTAAAACTGACTTATAGAATTGAAACGATACGCACGAATATATTTCGATTATACTTAGTTTGAATAAAAATCGATATTTATAAAATACCGCATAATTCACTGTAGATGGAAGCAGTAATATGTTGTAATGACCATTATTCTTCTTATACGCGCCATTTATAATTTGGTATCAATTACGTGTTTGTTTTATTTGTTTTTATTGAAAGTATTGTAATAATTTTGAATATTGCAAATATTTAATGCATAATTTATTCATGTTAGATTTTTAGTTCATTATGTGTTATTAATATGCATTGGTATATTCATTAAATGTTATAAACAAAATATGTATTAAAGTAACGTATAAATAAAATGAAATAATATTCTTATAATATTTTATAAATATTATATAGAAATTATGCATTTTATATTCATTGTTTAAAATATTATTTATTCAATAATTTTATATGTATATTCCTTAATTCTTGTAGTAAAATCATGTATATAGTAATTTTTAAATCTGTATATAGCGAAATACATAATTTATATACATAAAATTTTTCGTTTTAATCAGTAATTTATAGTGAATTCTTTAAATATATTTCTTTTATCAGGTCAAATAAAAAAAAAAAATTGGTGACTTCTGGTAAGAATTTTTCGAACGATCTAGTTACTTTTATATATATGTAATATACGTTGTGGAGAATTTCATGGCCGTATTGGTCGCGTTGCATCAGCAAGTGCAATGTTCATCTATTTTCGGTTGTTTCGCAGTCGCGAATATCATTTTAAGGACCAGTGATTTTTAATCTGGAAAATGGCAGAATCGGAACAAAGAAACAAAGAGAATTGTATTGTAGGACCGAAGGAAACGATGGTGAAACAAGAAAAGCGTGAGAACACGTTGACGAATGGCGGGAAGGGATCTGGCGATGACGCGGACAGTCTGGAGGAATTGCCTCTTGATATAGGCGAACACTACCTCGTCCGTAGATCAGACGATTCCTGGCGTAAATATATTATCACATGATTATAATCTTTTTATCTACGATTGTGTATGAAGAATGATCTCATGTTAATAGACATTTATCCGCGCGCTTTTTTTGTGACTTCATATTTGTGTTTGTATTACCGGCTTCGCCTTGATAAACCATATTTGTTTTGAAAACATTACAAACGGTGTCATGTGTAATATTTGAGTCAGTAATATTTTACATATAAAAAATATGTTGTTAACGTTGATTTATTTTTATTTTTCTATTATATCCTTTTATGAAAATTAAAATATTTATGAACAGAAAATATGTTAAAGTAAAAGTATTTGATATTTTTTAAATAATAAGATATTAAAAGAAGACATGAAGTTACAAAAAAGTTATGTACATGGTATTAAAGAAAGAAATTTTTTAATTCTATGTAGATCCAGCAGAAATTATTCAAACTCGATATAATGAGAGTGAAAGCCATTATGAATATTATGTACACTATGAAGGACATAATAGAAGATTGGATGAATGGGTACCCAGAGATAGAATTATGTCAAGCAGATTTGACATGAGTGATAGGAGTTGGAAGAGTGGAGATAGAAACTCTGGTACTGATTTATTGGCAGACTCTTCAGATCGTAAAATTACAAGAAATCAAAAAAGAAGACATGATGAAATTAATCATATTCAAAAGGTACATATTTATGAAAATATTTAATAAAGTAGAAAGTTTTTCTTTGTAACAGAAGTTTTTTATTTTAATTAGACATATGCAGAAATGGATCCAACAACTGCTGCTTTAGAAAAGGAACATGAAGCAATAACAAAAGTTAAATACATTGATAAAATCCAAATTGGTAAGCATCAATACATACTTTGCATTATTGAATTTTGTGTGTGAAAAGGGTCTCATTATTTTCAAAAGTTCATTTCCAGGAAAGTATGAAATTGATACTTGGTACTTTAGTCCATATCCAGAGGAATATGGTAAACAACCAAAGTTATGGATTTGTGAATACTGTCTTAAATACATGCGACTTGAAAAAACTTACAGATATCACATGGTAAAAAATGTTAATATTAAACTATTTAATTTTTAATGGAAATTTAATTAAGAGTTAGAATCGTTTGTTTTTAGAGTGAATGTACACATAGACAACCAGTTGGCAAAGAAATATATCGCAAAGGCACATTAAGTATTTGGGAAGTGGATGGTAGAGAGCATAAAATTTATTGCCAAAACTTATGCTTACTTGCAAAGCTATTTTTGGATCATAAGACACTTTACTTTGATGTAGAACCATTTCTTTTTTACATTCTGTGTGAAGTTGATAAACATGGAGCTCATTTAGTTGGTTACTTTTCAAAAGTACCTTTGATTTTTATATTTGATGGTATTTGTAATTTCTAAATTATGCTTTTCTTTTATCATGTTTTATTTACTTTCAGGAGAAAGAATCACCTGATGGCAATAATGTTGCTTGTATTTTAACTTTACCTCCGTTTCAAAGGCAAGGGTATGGGAAACTTCTAATTGCTTTCAGCTATGAGCTAAGCAGAATAGAACAAACCGTTGGTAGTCCTGAGAAACCATTGAGTGACTTAGGAAAATTATCATACAGAAGTTACTGGAGTTGGATTCTTTTAGAAATTTTACGTGATTTCCGGGGCACACTTAGTATAAAAGATTTGAGGTACTTTTTGCTAAATTGTATACAAATTTAGATTAAATTATGCATAATGAAGTTAAATAATGATCAATATTTGTAGTCAAATGACAAGTATATCACAAACGGATATCATATCGACACTGCAAAGCATGAACATGGTTAAATACTGGAAAGGACAACATGTAATCTGCGTCACACCCAAATTAGTCGAGGAACATATTAAAAGTAGTCAATACAAGAGACCACGATTAACAGTGGACAGTAGTGCACTTAGATGGGGAGCTCCACCTCGGAAGAACATAAAACCTGGCAAAAAGTAGCAAAAAACGAATGGAAATTCGATGGTTTTCGTCATCGTGAGATTCACGATTTAATGTGTTTAGCAAACACTTGATAAAGCACAGCTGTACACGTTAGTTCGCAATGGTGTTCTCAAGTTTGTTAAATAATCTTTTATGATGCATTAAAATGCATTGTAAACGTCCAGGGTCTCGTATTTGATCAGAAGCTAACGCGAGTGAACACGTTGATTTATAGAGCTTCGTTAATTCTTTGGAGCATAGAAATGTTGAAAGGCGTTTGTGGATATCTCATATAGTCTGCTTCTTTTAGCAGTACATTACAAAAAGAGAAATGAGGATGAATTACTGATATTGATTCGAAATATGTATTTGTTGTGATAGCGAAAGCATCATTTTATTTTGATTTGAGATTTATTGACTTCATGCCACGTAATTACAACTTGAAGATACAAGCATATTGTATTGTACGTAATAAACAAAGAAAGAAAAGGAGAAAAGAAAAGAAAAAAAGAACATTGTTAATGCCACACAGTATTAGCTCATATTAATAATTTTTTTGTATAAATTCGTTAATAATAAATTATATATATTGATGAATAAGTTTTCGAGAATTTTCGCGAGTATTATTGGATTATAACATCTGCTAATATTACATCGAAATTATATTCATTATTTATAATTTTGCAATAGAAGATTTGTGCATTTCTTTCGCCAACTTAATGGCATACTTAGCAGTACCAGGTGCAGTGCACACTCCATAACCCCCATGCCCATAATTGTGCACTAGCTGTAACACAGAATGTTTTATTAATAATAACAAATGCTTTCATCGAAATAAATAATATTCTACTGAAACTAACAATAGCTTTGGAGTATCCGTTTACAATTTGTTCGATCTCTACTCTGACATTGTTTTCTCTATGTGGCCGCAAACCAACTTCATTTTTTACAATTTCTGCTGTTTTAATAGCTGGTAGGAAATTTTCACATCTTTGACGAATCGCTACAAGCTCATACGGGCAAATTTTCATGTTTTCAGAATCAAAATTTCTCGATCCACCCAGAGTAAGTATACCATTAAAACCTGGTATAATGTAAGTGTCTAATTCGCCATAAAAGAATGTTTTCACCCATGGTGCCTTCACCTATTTTTTAACATTAATAATTTTAACTTTTTTTCATCTATACAATGTGTCTTGAAACAAACATACTTTGATTAATTGACCACGAATAGAAACGAGACGTCTATCATTACATAAAAATCGTGCTCCGAGACCTGTACAATTCATAATTAAATCCCAGTCAGATACCAATTCTGTTAAAGAATTTAATTTTTTTTTTATTAATTTAGTTCCGTTATCTTGTAATCTAAAAATAAGTATTCTTTAAATCGTGATTCCAAAGAATTATGTTAATCCAAAGAGTAAATTTGTTACTTTTTACGTGCCCATGGAAGATGCAGTTTGCATTCAGTGAGGAGAGTTTTAAAAAATGACCCATACTTCCAATTTCCGTTAACTAACTGAAATTCTTCGTCCGTGGTTCTCCTATATATTGGTACTAAATCTTCAAGCCAGTAATTCTGTTTTAAAAGAGAAAAAGTACTTTTTTACAAGAAATTCTATATTTCATTTATTATTATTTGTCCCGAAGGATGTTATATTTTTTATGAAATTATTGTATCATAATAAGATATTACTAATAATATCTATAAAAAGATATTACTGAAAGTACAATATATACCTTTACGGTTTCCGGAGAAGAGTTAGCGAATAAGTAACCAGAAATAGCAGTTACACCAGCGAAGGAAGCTTCATAAGATTTTCGGATATCATCATAATATTCATACGAATCTCGTATCCAATTTCTAAAAAAAAAAAAGAATTCAATTAAAAAACTAGAGCAAAATTGATACAAAATTTAGTTTTATTTATAAACCTTGTTATTTCCTCAGTTGGTCCAGAATATGATGAACTAACTCTAAATATTCCAGCAGCTACATGGCTGACAGTATTATCAAAATCGGTAGCAAAAATTGTAATTTCAGCGTTACGTAACTCACGCTTTAATTGTAAAGCTGTGGTTAAACCAATTATTCCACCTCCAACTATAGCTACTTTCATTTTTTACTTTTGATCAACACAAAATTGTTTTTCTTTAATGATCTCAGTAGAATACTTAAATTGTGAAAAAATATTCGCTAACTAAGAATAACTAGTATGCTTCCATATGATTATAAAAGTGCGACTTTTATCTATGGTCAAGCAGATTCTCATTATTAAATATACGATGGGACTATTACGACTGCAGTTGATGACGTGCACCGTACTTTGAAATGAACGCACAAGATTTATTAAAAGAATTACGTTTATTTGATACAAATTGATACTTCTCAAAAAGTTGTGGAAATTCAGATATTACGGGCAGTTAATGTTCTCTTATTAAAGATGAGAAATATTATGTGTTGCGAAAAGGAAACCATGTATTTTTGGCGTAAAAAGAAATTACGATCATCGCGCGCTAAACAATGATTACTCGAGATATGTACAACGAATGTTAGAAATTTAGAGAAAATTAGTTGTAGAGCTTAGCTTTATTTTCTTATTTATTTATCTTATTCATCGATTATTATGAAATTTGGTCTAATCACATCTATTTCCCCGCGTATATACAAATTTTAATCTCGCAAGTAAAATGAGTTCAAATAATGAAAAAATATTAAGGAAAAGAAAAAGAAATTGCATCAAGACCCTTTTTTCTTTAAAACTATGTCTAAATAAAAAATAATTGGTAAACTACAAAAGTAAAATATACAATGATAAATTCACCTGTTTTACGGGTATTTTACATTTTCAACAATGTAATTGTTGTTAATAATCGTTCCTTCAAGTTTTCGTATAAATTACACTCATTTCACGTGTTACAATTTTCCATTGTACCATTGATCTCTTCTTTTTTCTTCGGTTATTCGTTTCTTCGTATCGAAAAATATATAAACGCAACGCGAATTTGTAGAGATGTGGACGCAATGGAACACTTGTACGTGAACTGTCTTCATTCTGAAGGCGGTTAATAATCGTGTCACAAAGAATGAAGCTATTTACAAAAAGCAAACAGACAATAAATTTGTCACTAACAATAATACATTACTTTTGATGCTTAAGTCACGCATAAAGTTTCAACGATCTCACAAAACCTTTATATCAAGGCCACACCTACGAATTTTTATTTTTTGTCTCTTTGTCTCTGTATGAAGAAATAAATGTTCATATATTGTTCATTTTACAAGCTTAACATCTACGATTGTTACGTGTTATCATAAGATAATGCTAGCTAAAATATAAAAAACATTACGCCTTACTGCAAGGTTGTATCGTGTAATTCAAAGGAGGAGGAGGAACTAATAGAGGCAGCGGAGTAGGAGGCGGAGGAGCTTGAACAGTGTTCGGAATTAAAGTCGTTGATTGAGTCTCGCTGGTACGATTGATAGCGTTGTAAGCAGATAGGTAACTTGGCCAAAGATGTGGCGGCGGAGGAGATCCTGGAGGTGGCGGTGGCGGAGAACGATCATCCAATTCATCTGAATCGTCCATCATCATTGCCGTTAATGGAGTGACACGGGGCTTCTTCAATTTTATGATCTTCACCTAATAAACATAATTCGTATAATATAGATTTAATATAGAAGAGAAAAGAAAGAAAATCTATTTCAATTTTTTCTTTGTTTCTTGAAATAGAATAATTAAAACATTCTAAAACATAATATGATTTATGTTATGCTATATCATAAATAAGGAGATTTCGGAGAGACTTAACAATCGCTAATGCACTGGAGGCCACAGAACAATTAGCTAAAGACATCGAAGTTAATTATTAACATTCACAGGAAATTTTTTATAATAGCAGTTAGGAATACTTTAAAATTTCTAAAATTCTATTTCAATTTGGCTTCAAAAAAGACACATTCTGAAAGAGAAAGAGTCGCGAAGACGTAAAAATTCTAATTAGTTGTTTTAAAAGTAATAAATTAATTAGAAATCTTGAAAGACTCTCAACTAGAATGCTAATCGCTAAAACAGAAGTAGAAGGTACTTTTCTAGGTGGCAAAATATCAAGTTCGTGACTATATCTTATAATTTTAACAAATATTGAACTTATTAATTTAAAGAATCTAACCTTCACTTTTTTCTTTGTTTTGGGTGGTCGTGTTCTTTTCTCTTGCTTACTACTCTTTCTAGAGCGAGATCTTCGGGCATCTCGAATTCCACCTCGAGTAATTCCAGATGTGGGCGGTGGTGGAGAAGGCATGTCCCCTTCTCCGCCACTAGGACTAGTACCTTCTCCAGGTTTGATTCCATCCGCGAATTGTACAGATTTTTTACTCCTTTGTTTTCTCTTGTATAATTTCGCTAATTTTGATTTTTTCAGTTGAATCTTCAATTTGCTTATCTTATTCTCACCATTTTCGCCTTTGGTAGATTCATTCTTATCTGCTTCGAAACCCTCTTTATCTGTATTGTCGCCACTTTCATTTTCAGGGGTAGAGAGATCATCCAAGTTACCATTCGGAACTGAGGTTCTCCTAAAATATATTTATATTTTAAAAACAAAAGAAATATTTTTCTTTGTTCCTTATAAACACAAAAAATCGAATACCTGAAACCTGATGCAACTAAAATTCCTTTTAAAGGTGGAGGAGGTAACTCTGGCCATTCTTTGGATTCTGGATCGATTTGGATCTTATTCATTTCATCTGTCGCTATTGTCGCAGTAACTTCATCAACTTCGTTTTTCAATTTATTTAAACGTGATTTTTCATCGTCTTCTTCTTCTTCTTCTTCGTCATCTTCCGCCTCTTCTTCATCTTCTTCGTCATCCTCCACTTCGGCCTCCTCCTCTTCTTCTTCTTCCTCATCTTCTTCAACAGGCACTTCCTCCTCTTCCGTAGAAGCAGATGATGCGACAACCGGCATTTCTTCATCTTTCTCAAAAATAGCAGAAGAAGTTTGCTTTCCATCCATATTGACATGTTCTTCATTTTCCCGAAGAGCCTTCAAAACAGATGGATCCAAGCTTGGACTCTTTTGCTGATTCGTATTCTCTGACTGGCGTATGTTACTTTTTTCTAGCAGTTGCAAAGCACGACGATTAATTCTTTCAATTCGTCTACGTTCTTTATCTTTTCTCCTAATTTCTCGTAGTCGTTTACGTTCTTCCTGTTCTTTTCTACGAGTTTCTAAGATAACTTCGTAATTATATACTGGCAGAACTGGAACTTCCATAGATTAATAGTTTAAATAATTATTTATAGTACTTTTACAATATTTGTCATAATAAAAATTTATTTCATTTACTTACTCTGCGATGCGACTTCAGTTCTAGGGAACGTCGTTTGTGTTACTGGAAGCGGGACGGGACCAGGAACAGGAACGGAAATAGGCAATGGAACTGGAGACAAAGTAGAAACTGGCGTTGATGAGCTTATGGTGGGTGGAACAGCTGGTACAGGCATGGGCACAGGAACTGGAACAGGTACAGATATAGGGACTGAGGGAACCGGAGAAGGTTGAGGGACTGTTGCGGAATACATCATCCCTCCTGATTGATCGACCGACGAGGGTTGTCCGCCGCTCCAATCTAATGACGTCGGTACAACTTGAAGAACATTACCTACGCGAACTACTTGACTGGAACCTCGTACAATCGGTGCTGTTGAAGAGTTAGTCGGCTCCCTATGCGCTGCTGGGATTCCATTGAAATCTGCAGGTACTACTTGCAACACATTGCCCACCTATATAACATTTCAAATATATAATTTCTTTTATTTTAGTATTTTTATCATACTATCAAACAAAAGACAATATAGATATACAAACAAATTATAAATAAAAAAGAAATAAAATAAAATACAATAGGTATAATAATTATAATGAGAAAAAAAATAAAGACTACAAAACTAAATTCAGTTAATTGTTTAAAAGAAAAATAAAAGTTGAACAATATGTTAAATAAATCTTTGATTAATTTATGTAAATAGTTAGTTGCGTACCTGTAATACAGTAGGTTGTTGGCGGTACAGCACTTGCTGTTGTTGTTGAGGTGGTGATGGATAACATACATTGGAATTGAAGTTATCTCCATAATCATTCGACACTCCTGTACCATCCTGTTGCTTCTTAATTCCCAGTTCAAGTTCTAGTCTAAAATTAATGGAAAAATTTAAGTACGATGTCTAAAGTTAAATATATATTTTATTTATATTGGGACCAATTAATTTAAAGTGATTCAGGAAACAGTGGAAAGGAAGGGCAGTTAGGGTTACGATTCCGAACACGATTTCTATAGCTATTACCTATCATCAAGGGACAAACGTTTTGGAGAATTCGCTACAGTGTCATCAATGCACGGTGGGTAAGTCAAGTTATTCTCTGTATAATAGTATTCATTTCCAACTTCATTTTCAGTCGAATATTGAAAACCTGCTGCGACTGTCTCCATATTGTCACCGATGTGCATTTCCGAGTCTAATACAGTCGAATCCCTAGATAAACCGGACACGGACTGCACGATCGTTTCTATTCGTCTACCTCTCTCAGCACAGCTATTTAGTTTCATATTATCGTGTTCATCCTTCCTTTCCCTTGAACTTTCGCTGACTCTACCTCGTCCCACAGAAGGTGATCTGAATTGACAGTAAGATTGGCTTACTAACTATTAACATAATTTATTAATTATTATAAATTGTTTTTAAAAATTCACCTAGAAGTTCGTAAGCGTTCCGTTATTCGTAAGTGATCTGGACTTCTTATTCTAGAGTCTGAAGTAGATCTGGTTCTTGATCGAGATCCTGACCTGGATCGAGACCTTGAACGTATGATGGATCGAGACCTGGATCTTGATCGCGATCGTGATCTAGACCTAGATCTTGATCTAGATCGTGATCTTGACCTTGACCATGACTTCGATCGCGATCTAGAACCACGTCTAAAGCGGTCGTGTGAAGATCTAGGGGGTGATCTTCGTAGCCGTGGTGACAACCGACCTCTAGATGGTGGTAGTTTTTCTGATCGTCGAACGTGTCCATGTCTATCTAGATCCAATGATTCTCTTTCTTTCTCCCATTGTCTGTCTCTTCTCGTACTGAGCCTACTTTTTCTTTTAAAACAATATAAATTTTGTAATGCTTTGTATTAATACTGATAGTATTTTTGCTAATAATTATTTATATTAATGGTACCTATGTTTGAATTTTGATGAAGGACGGAAAGGACCTTCCATGATATCTCTTTCAATACTGTCATCCCTATAGTATGCTTTTTCTTCATAATCAAGATCTAGATCTTGACCATTGGAATAGGAATCCAAAGACTCATTTCCATCCCGAAGTATGTTTTCCGTTTCATATAACCACAATGATCGATCTGTTTCATCTCCACGAAACCTACTATCTCTATGTCTATCAGGATCTATGTTTCTTTCCCTTAATACTTCTATTGGTTCATACGATCTAGTTTCTTTTTCTCTTTCCATGCAATCATATTTTCTTCTATTCCACTCATCTCGATCTCCTTTAGTGGATGTATGTTTCTTAAAATGATCTATAAACAATAATTAATAATACTAAATTCTAAAAGTCGAAATATGAAAGAAAGAGGTAAATATGAAAGAAGCAAGGAAATATTACCTTTGTTATATGGGGCAGTGTTAGATCGAGGTGGACTCCTTAGAGATCTTTCCCTTCTATCATCTACTCTAGATCTACCAGATCTATCATCGTCCATTCTATTTGATCGTTTTTCTTTGGTGGAAGAACTTGCAAGCGATTCTTCCTTTTTCTTTGGACTCTTGCTTCTACTTCTACTCCAACTACGACTATGGCTTTCGCTACGACTTTCGTCCCGTTCCCAAGAGGTACTTCTTCTTTTCTTAATACGACTACCGGAAGGACTGGGTCTTCTTCTGCTTTCATTGTACTCTTGTTTTGAACTCCTATTATCCTTTTTATCTCCTCTTTCTCTATCGTCAAATTTTTTATCTCTTTTTTCTTTACTACGATCACTAATTCGTTTATCTTCTCTGTTTTCTCTTCTACTAGGGCTCTTTTTTTTCTGTTCTCTGCTCGGTGACCTCATCTGACTCTCTGTATCACTAACATCTTTAGTGCTAAGTGGTCTAGATTTTTTATATTCTTCCAGTTTAATTCCTTTATCTCCAGATTTATATTCATTGAAATCGAGCTTCACTGCGCCTGGTGATTCTGATTTTGTGATAATTGAAGTCTTTACAGTTATCGATACATCTTTGGAATCCACCTTAACATCTGTAATAGTTGTCTGTTCTGTAGGAATAACTTCAGCAATCGGTGCGTGAATGTTAGTTGCTTTTTCACACTCAATCTTAAATTCAGTAGAAGATTCTTCACAAGATGTATTCTTTATGTCGTTCCTCACAGCATGCGACTCCCGAAGCTTTTTTTGGATAGTTAATAGAGCTGCAGCATGTTGTACCGGATCATCTGAAATTAATTTTGTTTTCACACGTTCGTTGTTTCGTCGAACTAACAATTGTTTGGGAATTAATTTAAGAGCTGCTTTTCCTTCATTAGATTCATCTCCACCTTTTATGCTAGCAGATGAAGATACTGTTTCAGAGTTTTTGTTACTTAATTTTCCACATGATTCATCGGATTCATATTCTGCAAATATATCCATCCGTAACGATTTATAATTCGAATCTGGATATGATTCGTTAATTGAAAGATCGGGAGAACTTTCAGAAACTTTCACATCAAATTTGTCCTGAACAGTCTGATCCTCTGCCTTTTGCATACCTAAAATTTCTTCAAATTCTTTCTTTATCATTGTAGATTTTGCATATTTGCCATCACGATACTTTATTTGAAGAGGTATATTGGGAACGAATTCTTCATCAGATTTGATCAAAATTTCGTTCTTTGGTTTGTCTTGGAGGAGACTTTCCTTTCGATTTAAAGGACTTGTGTGATTGTTATTGAAAGCTTCTATATCCTAAAATAAAAAATTAATATGCAGAATTAATATGATTTTGAAAAATGCATCTTATGTGCAAACATACCTCAGATTTCTGGGATCCAGCTGGAGAACTGGGACTATACAATTCAGTGTTTTTCTTCGTTAATTTCACATCTATCTCAAATATGTCCTTTAATTGTTCTACAGTACATTGTTCCTTCGAAGGTGTCAGTTCTTTTGTTTGATCAAAGAACGTATCTTTCTGAGAGTTATTATCTAAGCTTCTTATTCGTAATTTGCTTCTAGCATGTTCATCTGAAGTCCAGGATGATTCTAACAAGTCTACATCCTGAGGTTTTCTAGGGAATAAATCGATAATTTCTGAACTTGTTGAATTTTTTGATACAGATTTTCTCGATTGTTCAACTACACAAACATTTTCGTCTTTTATTTTCGTTTTAGGTAATATCGAATCACAACATTCTAAAGATGCTCTGTCTATTTTATGATCGAATTTATTCACTTTCGTCCATTCCGCACACTCTTCCTCCCACATAACAGGAGCTTTTAGTTTTAATTTCTCTCCAGATTGCGACTCCATGTCCCAGCGACTTTTCTTATTTTTTTTGTTTGTAATAACATCATGTTTCATTGATGTATCTACATTTTTGCTAACCATATTTACTTCCTTATGAATGCTATCCATTATAGTGATGCTATCTTCTATATTTTCTTTCCTATCATTTTTTTCTCGTAGAAATGATTCTTCTTCAATGTCCCAATCATCATTTTTCCTCTTGTTTTTTTGTTCTAGAAGCATCATAGCTTCTCTCTCCCCTTCTTCTTGTTCCTCTTCCCAGATTCTCATTGCTGACAATCTGTCTTGTCTCTTCTTACATTCTTTTAAAGTTTCTTTTTCTATAGAAATATATGTATCTGTTTTCTTGTCATATCGAACTTCCTTCTCTAGTTTCTTTGAAGTACGCGTGGGTTTCTTTTTATTAATCATCAAATTAGGTACAGCTTCTAAGCTATCTACTTCCCATTCGTCTGCTAATAGCTGTCTTTTACTTACTTCCCTTTCAAGTTGCGTCAATGATAGAACATTCAAAGTGTCGAATTCAGTTTCTCCCCATTTTTCTTTTTTCTGCTTTTTGGAAAGCTTGATTTCGTCTTGCATTATTTGTTGAGATATCCGTTCGCTCTCTTTCTCCCAATCAGTTAAAAATTCATTACTATTCTTTTTCTCTTTTTCTCTTTTCCTTTTTTTCTTTCCATCAGTGTCTTCTTCTATCTTTAAATTTCCTGGCATGATTTCCTTATTAATACTTGGACATTTTTCTTTAAAACGTTCATCTTTTTTACTTTTGTCATCCTTTTTATTTCGTTCATCCTTTTTTTCCACCTTTCGAATATTACTTATTTCAGCATTTTCTACTTTTTCGACATTATTTTTTGACAGTTTCTCCCCTTTCTGTGATATAATTACAGATTCCATTTCCCATTCTTCTAAATATCGTTCATCAGCTTTATTTCTTTTTTCTTCATCTTTGTGACCTTTGTTATGCACATCGTTATTAGAAATCGTCTTTCTAACTAATTCCTGTTCTTTGCTCCAAACGTCGTGTTTATCTGTAGGGCGTTTACTACTTTCTACCTTTACTTCCTCTTTAATCTTTTTCAAAGGAACTTGTGTACGGATCAATTTTGTATTTTCTACCGAAGAGGACTCTAAAGGTGGCTTTTGTATATTTTCACTGCTATCTTGTTTATTACTATATTCTTTTTTCTGTTTAGACTTTTTATTTACCACCCTTTTTTTTCTTCTATCTTCTGATGAGTCAGTACTGCTAGAGTCAGAACTGACTTTTCTTTTTCTCTTCTTTTTTGTTCTTGCTATACGTTTTGCTTTTCTCTTTCTTTTTTCAGCTTTTCGTTTTTTCTTCTTTCTTTTCTTTCGTTTATCATCAGAACTAGAAGAATCGCTACTGTTAGTACTACTGTCGCTACTATCTGAATCTGTTAACGAATCGGAATCATTCGATATTTTTCGTTTTCTCTTTTTTCTTTTTACTTCTTCCTCAGAATCAGAAGAACTTGACGAACTAGATGATTCACTGCTGCTAGAAATGACTTTTTTTTGTTTCTTCTTTTTTTTTGTCTCTCTAGAATCAGAATTCTCATCACTCATACGTTCGACTTTGATTCGTACGTTTTCCCAATCACTAGGTATAGATTTTGAATCTTCTGATTCACTTTTATCACGCACATTTTTGCTCTCTACTCTTATACGTTTTTGAACTTGAATATGAGAACTGCTTGATGACACTTGATCATCTTCAATTTTTGAAATTTTCTCTGGACTCTGTCGACTTTCGTTAGATTTGTATTTTTCTTCAATTTTACTTGAATCACTTTTATCAGACTTCCCAGAGATACTATGTTCTACAAACTGGAAATTATTGTCATCTGGCAAGTTAGTTTCTATATTAAAGTCATGATAACTTAACGTTGATGCAAGAGGTTTTGGAGAAAATTCTTTTGATACAGGTATATCACTGCAAACCATCTTCATGAACTGTTCATATTCCGATGCTAGTTTTTCGTTGCCTGCAGATTGTAATAAAGGAGATGCTGATTGTCTGTTATTATTTATCTTTTTAACAAAAGCTTCATCTTCATTGATAATTTTCTTGTCTTCGCTGACATCTTCTATTGTACTTAACTGTGGAGAAAATTCTTCTGCTTCTAGAATAAATTTTAAACATTAAACATACTTTTTACGTTATAAATAATATATAAATTATTTACCTTGCTCTAAAGCAATGTTGCTCGACTTGGTTTCATTGTCTTGTTCTTGCTCACTATCATTGGATAATCTATCTTCATCTTCACTATCCCATTTTGATCTAGGCAGTTGTACACTAATGGATACATGCCATTTAGTGTTTTCATCAGACTTACATATACCTGATTTTGGATACCAATTACGTATACCTTGAGGCTTTTCTGCTTCTTCTTCTTCTTCATCATTTCTAGAATTGTTAGGATCTGAATAGGTAAAGGAAAATTGATGAGATAAAAGATATTTTGATATACCGTATAAAGTTTGCATCACAAATTTCCTGCATCTTTTCACGTTGATCAGTAATAATTGCTTGAAGAATCTGTTGATGATTGATGAAAAGAGACATACGAGGATTTTCAGAATAAAATAGTTGAGGCCTTCCCCGTTTAGTTAGTTTTATTGACTCAGGAGGGTATTCTTTAGGACCGTCCAGCCCTTCGGCAATAAAAGCGTAACGTTTCAAGCGACAATCATTTAACATTAACATCTGTTCGAAGTGACGTAAATAATCTTCAGCTGTTCTGTAATATACATATTTCTTGAATATTTATTTAATAAGAAAGATTATAATATTTGTTTTAATAAGAGAATATAAAAGAAAACAATTTTGAGAATACAAACAAACCTATTTTTTGTTGATCGTTCGGAGTGATCACGTCTTCTAATCTCAATAATATCTTCCATCATTATACCACTTTTTTTTAACTCTGTCCATGAAGCAGAATTTATTACATCTTTCTCTTTTCCTTTATCTTTGTCTTTCTCTTTCTCTTTCTCTCTTCTATCCTTGATTTCAGGTCTTTCCTGTGAAGCACTTCTCTTTTCCTTAAAGCACTCTCTTTTTTCTTTTACTCCTTTCTTTTCTCGTGCATCTTCCCATTTATCTCTATCATTATCTTTTTTATCTCTTTCCTCATCTTTTCTATCTCTACTTTCTTCATATTTATTATTATCTTCTCGCTTATCTTTATCATCTTTCTTATCTTTATCTTTTCTACGTTGTTCTTTATCATGAGATATTTTATAGTATCGTTCTTTACTACCATTGTAATCTCTTGACTCCCTATTTGCACTATCTCTTCGTTCTTCTCTTCCATATCGTCTTCTTAAAATAGTTTTTGCGTATTATTTATACATATAAAAATGCAAAAATTAACTATTTATCACATAAAATTGATAAATGTTTTTATACCTTTCTGAATATTTACTTTCTATTGCTGATTTTGAAGTATTTTTATGAAAAACATTAATTTCGTCTTGTCTATTTCTCTCTCTTATAATTTTTACATTTTCTAATAAATTTTGTCCATTTCTATTTGCATAATTTTCTTCTTCCAAATTAGCTGTAAGATAATCTAATTATTGTTAACAATTCAGTTCAATTAAAAATACTATATCATTAAGTACCTGCAGCCATAGCTTCTGCTAATAACATTTTACTTTTGGATTCTTCTCGTCTAATTTCTTCAATTGCCAATATCTTTTCTTCTACATGATAGAAACTTTATGTTAAAAAAATATATTTTTCTAATATAAAATTTCTATAAATTAAACTTATTGAATAATACCTGTTTTCTTTTTTGATTTACTTGAATGACGATTATGAAATTGTATAGAATCTGAATCCACATTTAATATTGTGCTTGAATCATTTTGTAAAGATTTTCCATTGTCACTTGACATACTTTTAGACTTAGAAGCTTTGGTGGAGTGTGCTTGAAGCAAACTGGATTTATTTTGAATTTTTGATGGTACATTAAATTTATTAGCAAATGCCATCAATCTCTTTTTAGCTTGTAGTTTTCCTAATACAGGTTTGAGCATTTTAGGACTTTCCAATCTAGGTGTATCTCCATCACTAATTTGACCTTTTGTACTTTCTGGTGTTTCTGGCATTTGTATATCAAGTAAAGATATTGCAATGTCAGGCGTTGGTTCCTCTGGAGCATAAACATCTTCTGATTGCGACATTGTGTTAATACTTTTCTTTTTAGATTTTCCTATATATATAAAATCATACCAAAATAAGAGGATATGCAGAAATTAATTTATTATAAAAATAAATGGACAGACATGAAAATTTACCTTTGAGAAGAGATTACATCTGTCTTTGTCATTGACAATACTTTATTTTATCATGCATATGATTATTTTTTAAATCAGTATTACAAGCACCAACAAAAAATTTTTACTTTTCATGCTTAATATATATCAGATTCTATAAATGAAACAAATACAATTTACATAATTTTATATCCCAAAAATTTATAATTTTTTTGTAAAACAATTCTAATTTAAATGTGTATAAAAAATTACATTGAGAAAAATATGATTTAACGTCTTCACCATACTTATATATCATACGTTTCATAAAAAAAAGAGCTTACATTCGCACAAAATGTAATCAAAATATTTTAAATACATTTACACACACATACACACACGAGAACCATATTAAGAAGTAGCACAAGCAATTGCACCATGTACACAACCATCAATGATAATTTCAATTAATACTTTTTGAAATTAGAAGTAATTAGGAAACCGATTCAATGGATAGGTGAAACATTAAAACATCGACTCGTTCAAATCACTGAAGCATGTTTTTATCTTGGAAATCTCAAGCAATGTAACGGAGGTTCAAGTATTCGATTTTTTATTATACTTTATGAGGTTACGTTTAGTACAATTTTACAAACTGTCACTATTCAGTCAAACATACAAAAATTAAAAAAAAAAATGTTAGAAGAAAACCAAATATCACTGGATATAGTGTTGAACATTATGAAAACTTACTTCATACTGAGTGCTAAGTAACCGACGGATACATGTTGTTTGCGATAAAAATAACAAAATATTATCAACGTCACACGTCGGATTTCTCGTTTCTGCAAATACTTTTAATTGTACTATTCTATTCTTATGTTCGTCTAAATCAAACGGAGCTACTGCCAGAAAAGCGTCAGACATTTTAGTCAAACGGCAGGCCGACAACTATAAATGTTCACCGATTTAACAAAAACAAGGATACCAATATTTGAGGAATAAATATGGAATAACGATCAAATATATTTCATTTAGTTCAATAATTATTTGAATTAAAAAATATTTAAAAAGTTGTATAATTTTATAATTTTACATTCTCATGCAGATTTTCGTTTACAAACAAAAACTTTATATTACTATTTCACTTGAAACAATTTATTTTTATATTATACTTAATTTAATAGTATCTATAATGAAATTATACAAAATTGAGAACATTTTTAGAAAAGATCCTTGAAATAGTAAATTTGAAAAGTTTTACTACAAAACATTTATATAATATTTAACTGTATATTTTATACATGCAGCACTATATACGTTTTTTTCATGTTTAGTATAATTTAATGTAGTTATGTTAATTTTTATTTAAATAGTTTCAAATATTTCATAACTAATTATTGCAAGAATCTTCCTCTTTCTCTCCATTTAAAAATTAATATATTAAAAAGATATTAAGATAAAATTACACTAGTATGAATTTGAGTGCATTGTACAATTAATACATGGATTAATCTTCCATTTCTGATGGATCACCACCCATTGCTTTCCAAAAAGCAGTGACTAATTGTTCAGCTGCTATTCGCCTTTGATTAGTCGGCAACAATGCTGCATGTTCTTTCATAGCTCTCAATTGACTGAACAGTTCCCCAAAGTCTGCATTCTCTTCACCCATAATCCCATCTGAAAAAAATAGTGTATATAAACTAAAATAAAATCTTGCAATAAATTTTTCTTCAACTGACCTAGCATGTTTTCCATTGGTAATGTTTCTGTAGAATCTTGACTTAATTCAATGTTTTCAAATTGCTCTTCAACTTCATTCATATCAGTTCCTTCTTCTATATCTGATGACTTTCCTACCAAATAGAGTCAATTATAAATATTTATAATTAATAAGTATTTATATCCATGGAGCAATATTCTTTTAACTAAGATTTAATCATGTGTAATACAGATTTTTATTGAAAACCTTTAAGTATCATGTTTGGCCACATATGAGCATGTAAAGCTTCAATAATCCTCTCAATACCATATTTATTATTTTCTGAATCAGCTTCTGAAGCATCCACATCTGGCCGATTTAATTCAATAAGTTCAAATCTATTTTGTAAACACCATTTTATCACTAAAATATTCAAATACATATTTAATGTTCCATAAGTCAATAGTACTTATATGTCAATTATTATTTGTATATACCTTTGTTCCTAATAACAGTATCTGTTATAAAATGACAAGAAAACAATAGCACTTCAGCTTCTGCTAAAGAAGTAATCAAAGATGACCACTCCTTCAAATTCTGATCTGCATTTGCCTAAGAAAATTAATATTGAAAATCATTCGTTCTATTAAACCTCTTATTTAAAAAATAAATATCTTACTGCCTGTGGATCATGATGTACAATTAATGCTTCTACACCATCAACTGAAATATCTTGGGAAAAATTTTCTGTAGAACATATTAACACTTGAGTTTTGTAATATTTGTTTTGAATATTCCATAAATGATATTCAAAATGATCTTGGTTAGATAATTTTACTCCTCCTATATCTACAAGTTACAATGATATATGAAAATAAAAAATTGTTGCAATGTAATTTTCATCTAAACATATATTTTAAAAAATAAATTTTTCAATTTTTTTTTTAATAATATTAAATTTACAAAATTCAAGTTTCAACTCACTCATAGCAATTTCATTAGCTTTTCCTTTTTCAGTGCTTATTATTAATATTCGTGGCAGATTCATGGCAATAAAATGTTATAACACTATCAAAACCCAATAATTTCGAGATATATTGTAAAATTGAAAAGATATTATTTACTAGTTAATGTTTAGGTTATGATTATAATCTTTATGTCAATTGACATAAAAATGTAGTATTAAATAAATAAAATAAAACACTTTTATTCAATATACAGTGATATTTTTCAGTATATTTGATAACTAATTAATTGAATTATCTTAAATAACAATGGAGTTTCATTTCATAACATTTCGAGTCGGACAATCACGGTACGTTGTCATCATTCGATCGTTAAAAAACTAGAATAATTTTAATGAATTTTACACAATATTTCAGTTTTTCAATAAACTTTGATAAAAGAAAAACATTGCTATTTAATGTAACAGATTATATAAATTTAATTAAAGTAAACAATATTTAAATATTTTATAATTTTATAATAAATCGATTATTCGCGATTTAGTTCCGTACAATACAAATGATGAGTTACTTATAATTTGTTAATAAAAACACATAATTCTAACTATGTGTGAGATGAATGATAACACAAAAATTGTATAAACGTATATTGATTATTTGATTTATAGCAATACATAAACTTGCAAATACATATGTGGCCAAAAAATGTAAATGACACATAGTAATATGTTTTCTTCCTGATTACTTATAAAATTCATGTTCAGATTCATCCTTTTTAATATTATTCTTATAACCCTTCTCAAAATCTTTTGCTAAGACTATGTATCGATTCTCACGGACTGCATGCATTCCCGCTTCTTGGCAAATTGCATTAATATCGGCGCCAGAGATTCTATCTGGTCGTGCTACATAATCTTCAAGGTCCACTTCTTCGCTTAAATTCATTTTTGCAGTAATCGTTGAGAAGATCAAGCGTTTCTGACGACGATCGGGTAAAGGGAATTCAATCTTTCGATCTAGTCTGCCTGGACGTAATAATGCAGGATCTAATGTATCAGCTCTAAAAAAAAGTAAGTCTTTGTATCTATGTGAATTACTTTCTATAAAAATAATAATAAAGGTAAAAATCTTACCTATTTGTAGCCATTATAACTTTAACATTAGTGGTTTGATCAAACCCATCCATTTGATTAAGTAATTCCAGAAGAATACGTTGTACTTCACGATCAGCACCAGTTTGAGCATCAAATCTCTTTGTGGCGATAGCATCGATTTCATCAACGAAAATTATAGCTGGAGAATTTTCCTTGGCTAAACGGAAGACATCTCTGACCATTCTTGGTCCTTCACCTAAATATTTCTGTACAAATTCTGACCCTACTACACGAATAAATGCAGCTAAAAAATATTAATTGTACTAAGTTATAAGAAGATAAGTATACCGTTTATTTTGATATTCTTAAATTGGAAAACATTAAAAATATGATTTATACCAGTAGTATGTCTAGCTACAGCTTTTGCAAGCATAGTTTTACCACACCCCGGAGGACCATACATTAACACACCCCTTGGTGGATCAATTCCAATTTGCTTATACAATTCAAAGTGAGTTAAAGGTAGCTCTACTGCTTCTCTAATTTCTTGTTTCTGCATATCCATACCTCCAATATCACTATATTGAATATCAGGTTTTTCATCTGTAAAGTAAAATAATGCATAAAGTAATATTTTTTTATATCTTGCATTAACTGATAATATTAACAACTAAGCACCTGCTTGTAACATTGAAATACTTGAATCAGCTTCTGGTGGTAGAACATCTACTAAAGCATTACTATGCTTATGAAGAGCTACACTGGCAGACGGTTTTAATAACTCTCTATCAATTGTAGACAAAATTCGTACATAGTAATTAGAGCCTGTTGTAGAACCTACAATACCAGTATTTTGGTCTACAGCTTCTAAGAACTGTCCAATAACCAAAGGCACACTTTGTATGCGCTTTACTTCTTCTTGAGCATGTAAATATTCTTTTTTTAGATTACGTTGCTCATCTTTAATATATTCCTCTTGAACTTCAAGAAATTCTAACATTCTTTGCAGTTTCTAAAAAGTACAAGATTTTCATTATATTCACATATCAACTAAATGCATAAATGTAAAGAAACAAATGTTTAAAAAAAAGTAAGATATCTAAGTCTCATACTTTATATTTGGTATAAAGATCTTCAACGTCCAATTCATCACCAGCACCAGTATAATGTCCAATTACAGGTTTACAATCCATCTCTCCAACATCCTAAAATTTAATAAGAAATTTTTATTTATATTTCAATAAAAAAGTAAAGAGTTTGTGTAAGCAACAATACTTAAAAATTAAATTGTATAAAAATTGAGGTTACAGCAAATAATTTTAAGTAAAATCATAATTTTTAATACTTTTTTTTTTTAATTTTCATTGAAAATACGAATGAAAATGTATATACCTTATCGGGCAGAATAATACCCATCTCATCCATTGTTTTAAATACAATTTCTTCAATTAATTCCAACTAAACATACAAATCAACGAATGACTTGAGGTTCTTGAACAGATTCACTTCAGTGATTATGTGCTTCAGAGGTGGCTACCATTAACTACTTAATTTACTAAAGAAAGAAACCTAATAAAAACATATTTCAGAAATATAAAAAATTTTATTGATACAAATAATTAAATATTTATTAAAAATTCAGTTTCAAATTGAACGTATTAATTTATTTTTTACGTATATATATATATATATATATACACACGCACACACATATTTTTTGTGCATATAGCTGTGTCTCAAAATTAAAGGTTATAATGATCCCTAAAATAACGAAATAAAATCCCTATAAATTTGCAATATTTTCAAGTTAGTATACACAAATATTTCTTTGGGTAATCTAACTGCAATTTGTATGTTTTCTGACTTTATGTTTACAAGGTTTCTCGACCGGCAAACGTTTACATTTTGGATCGTGTGTGTAAGAAATTTTATTCTTTTTAACTACTGTATACATATATTATAGTATATCGAAACTTTACGTTATTTTAACCTTAAAAAATTTATTAAAATAATTATGAAATATTTAACTAAAATCATAATTTACGTTCCCATTAAAAATGATTTTGTAAATGTTTGGTGATAAAAAAATTATACGTAGATCAACA